TATGTGTGTGTGTGTGTGTGTGGCCAGCTCAGCCCACCAGGGGGCGGGGCTGGCTGGCATGTGGTGCTGGAGGATTGAACCGCGGTCCCTGTGCTCTAAGCTTGTTCTAAGTAGGTGCTTTAGACCACTGAGCCATCTCACCAGCCCCCCAAGTTAAAATATATTAAATTACAGAAATGTTTTGGGGGTAGAAATTGAAATATGAATTCAGAAGAAATTGAACAGTGTGAAATTCCTAAAGTGAAGTGTATGAATATAAACTACTTATTCTTTTCAGAAAAGGTCTCTATGTAGCCCAGACTGGCTTTGAACTCCCAGGGCGCTCCCACCTCGGCCTGCCTCCTGCTGGGATTACAGGTGTGCACCGACACCCAGGTTGAATACGTACTCTTCTTTTGTGTATGTGTGTCTTACCTTTTGTTGTTGCTATCTTTTTTTTTTTTTTTTGAGACAGGGTCTCGCTCTGCGGCTCGGGCTGGCCTGAGCTCACTTGCAGCCCAGGCCGGCCTCACGCTGGCGGGATCCTCCGCCGCAGCCTCCTGAGTGCTGGGGTCACAGGCGTGGCCACCCGCCCCGCTGAATACCGACTTTTTAAATGAGTTGTGGAAGACGCGACTGAAAGAGCAATGTGTTTGAACAAGTCAGTGTTTTACAATACACCGAACACGGTATCCTTTCCACTATTTTTATTTTTAATGGACACATTAATGGTACAGATTTATAGGATACAGTGAGATATTGAGTTACATAGTTGGGTTTTTTTTTTTTTTTTAAAGAGCAGAATGTATTTATGAGGGGAAGTAAGCTTCTGTCTGAGAGAGGGATAGAAGTGGTCCCAAGTGGATTGCCCACGTGCATACAGCTCGACATTGTGGCGAACCCTGCAGTCCCAGCTCTGGGGAGGCTGAAAGCAGGAGGATCACTACGAGTCCAAGCTGCAGAGTGAGACCCTGCACCAAATACATACATTAAAAATTGTTTTAAAAATCATTTATCTATTTATTATGCAGCTCAGACTGGTAGTGACCCTCCTGTCAGCCTCCCCAGCACCGCGATTATAGGCGTGTGCCACCATGCCCAGTTCCAGGGGCGGGCACAGCATGAGGTACCAGGGACTGAAGCTGGGTCTCTGTGCTGCCAGGCAGGTGCTTAGACTGCCAGCTATCTCCCCGCCCCTTTAATGCTAATCTCTATCGGCTCATCTGTTGGGGACACTTCGGGCGTGTGACTTACAGCGGGGACCCCTTCCTGCTGGACGTGTGCCTGGCGCTGGCAGTGCTTGGGAGGGACCTCCGGCTGTCCTCTGCGACGGCTTTACTGGTTTGCAGCCTCTCAGGGTAGGAGAGCGGTAGATGCGCCTTCTCCTTGCACATGAAGAACGTCCTCCCGGTGACAGCCGCTCTAGCGCGGGGAAGGCCGTGAGTTTGCCTGACGACTCGCGCTGCTGAGCGGCTTCCATGTATTTCTGGGCACCAGCGGGTTCCTCCACAGATGAGTTCATAGCGGCTTTTTTTTTTTTCCGTTTTGGCACAGGGCTTGAACTCAGGACCTTGCCCTTGGCAGGCAGGCACTTGTGCTGCTGAGCGATAGCCTGCACTCCAGATGAGTTTATAGCTAAGCGTGATGCTGCAGGGGAAGAAAGGCTGGAGGAGGGGCCCTCGCGCCCCTCCCCCTCCCTCCCTCTCCTTCCCCCTCCCTCCCCTCCCCCTCCTCCCTCCTTCCCCCTCCTGCCCC